ACACACAGGTTCAGGTGAATAGGTTCTATGAAAGCCTCAAGAACCCTCAGGGTCCACCTGACTAGATGTCCACCATATTGAATTTTTTGAAAAACAAATTTTTGACATCTTCTTCTAAGGGGTGTGGATCATCAAGAGACAAAGCTCTTGTTTTGATGATATTGACCAATGAACTTTAGAGGGGGCGTGGCTCAGCCCATTAATTGATTTTACTCCTTGACCATTGAGCCAATCATCGAAAAACTTGTTGGAAATATCTACATAAGTAACTGAATCATACCTTTAAAGTTTGATTCAAATTGACCAATAGGGGGCACTACACAAGCAGAAAGTTGATATCGCATAATCAGTCAGAGACATTTGAATGAAATTTGGTTTTCATCATCTAGGGTCATGTCTCAGTTGATGCACAAAATTTGAAAGGATTGCTTAAAGGGGGTGTGGCTTATTACATTAAATCTAAATTTCAAGACATTTCACATTCCATACTTCAAAAAATCATAACAAATCACCAGTTTGTCCTGCAAAGTACACAAATTGGCATCATTATAACTCACAGGATTCACAGACAAAATGCTGGACACATTTCCCCACAAATACAAAATGCTAATGTTATTACCATAAGCCTATAGCATTTTACATTGTATAAATTAGCCTAGCAGCTAGCAGGGATTTCCTCTAATCATATGAAGCTAAGGACAACAGCAACATTTAGTAAAGGTAACATTACAATTTGGCTCCATTATAACTCACAAGGTTCACTGACAAAACAACTGTCTTATACTAAACACATTTTAAGACAAATACAACATGTTAACGTTATTGGCACAAGCCTATGGCATTTTACATTGTATAAATTAGCAGCGACAAGCAGTTGTTTCCTTTCACGAAGGCGCAGAACGTACGTTCTGGTTGGCCATCGGCTGTAGTCTTTGCAATGTGTTCATGTACTGAGACATGTTGATGTCAGACGATGCAGCAGGGGGCCTTCATTACCACTTTTTCTAACTTTACTAAATAACCGAAACTGACTCAAGTGACATCACTTGAGGACATTTAGCTGACTTCACACAGCTCCCTCTGGAGACACTAAAAACTTCATACGACTGTGTTCACATATGCAGTCATACTCCCCAACACCTGGGAATACACACTGAGGAGGAAAATTGGTGGAATTTCCCTTTAAGGCCTTTAATATTACAGTTTATACTGTGCTTTAGTGATGCATACGGTATAACCTAACAACTGATTACAAACTAATTGCCACACAGTGGCCGTGCTCCCCAGGGCAGCTTCCTGCTCTAGCTGGTCAGTAAGATAACAATGTTTCTCCTCTCTCCTCCTCTTTAGGGTGCTTCCATGTGCCTCGCTGCCTGTACATGTGTGAGCGTATTCTGGATGATCTGCTGGCAAACAAGGACTGAGCAGTCTGACATGAATGTTGTAATTACCAGACTGAATCTGATTTGTCTGTTTACTGAATCACACCACAATATAATCAGGTTATGAAGCAAATTGCACTCATTTTTAACAAGGCATTGCTGTAAAGGTTGTTTAATCCCATCACAAACATCCAGTCACTGAGAGGCTCATAAAATCTCTTGAGAAGCTATATTACAACAACAACAACAAAAGCTTCTTTATATATTTAGTTTGTATTGACATTAATGTAAGGTACCTTTCTTGGGTCAGACTGTTTGTACTTTGCACCTGTCTGACATCTTGTTTTTAAATGTACATTCCTGTGTCAGGGCTAATACTCATTCAGGCTCATGCTGACATCTACAGGCAGTTTAGATTTCCCTCTTCACCTGGCTGCATGTCTGCAGAAACAGACACAGGGACAACCTAAAAACTCCATACTAAAACAATTGAGCATGCTGGATTGATATCCAACCCAGGGGCTTTCTTCTGTAAAGCAACATTGTTAACCACTGAGGCACCATCCTGCTTTCATCATACATAAAACATTAACACCAAAAAAATCATTTTTGTAAAGATGTGCCTTCTTCATGCACTCTTGAGCCAGCTTTTAAGACTTTTTAAGGAACATGTATTTTTTACATCCTATTCATTCCAGTTTGTACTTTACTCAAAGTATGCAAATAGCTATTCAGACATACTGGGGAATCATAGTGTATGTTAAAGAAAGATGCTAGAGTATATTAGTACTAGTGACATGCTTCTGATTTGTATACTTACAGGCCAATAAATGCAATGTACTATATTGAAATATTACAAAATTAAATATTAAATGTGCAATGTCATGTATGCAAATTATGTCATTGCATTGCAATGCATTCATTTGTACTTACACAGTTACTGATGTTGAAGTTGACAGGTGAATGAAGAACATCTTGTGAAGCCAGCAGAAACAGAATTTAACTGTAAGGAAACCAATCTACCACAGTATGCAGCAAGATTCACTTAATGACTGAGACAGTTTTACAAATTGAAAAAACAACAACAACAAAAAAACCCTGCCCTATTTATTTATTAATTTATTTTTATGCCTCTGTGCCGGCCATAGCTGTGGCAAGAAGCATTTTATTTTTGGGACATCCGTCTGTCATGTTCTCATGAACACAATATCTCAACAACACCTTGAGAAATTTTCTTCAACTTTGGCACAAACATCCACTTGGGCTCAAAGATGAACTGATTAGATTTTGGTGTTCATAGGTCAAAGGTCAAGGTCACTGTGTCTTTGTCTTGTCTTATTCTTGTGGACACAATATCTCAAGAGCACACCATGAAGGAGTTTCTTTAAATTTTAGGCAAGCGTTCATTTGGACTCAACAATGAACTGATAAGACTTTGATGGTCAAAGGTCAAGCTCACTGTGACCTTGCTTCTGTCTCATTCTCATGAACATGATAGCTCCAGAACAGCTTGAGGGAATTTCTTGAGATTTGGCACAAATGTCCACTTGAACTGATTCAACAATGAACTGATTAGATTTTGGTGGTTGAAGGTCAAAGGTCAAGTTCAGTGTGACCTCACAGAATAGGATTTTGGCCACAACTTAAGAATTCATATGCTAATTATGACAAAATTTGACACAAATGTCTAATAGGATAAAATAATGAAGTGATGACATTTTATATCCAGAAGGTCAAATGTCAACTTCACTGTGACATCATAATCTGCATAAAACACTTTTCTGGCCATTATTCAACGTCATATCTCAGGAACAGAAGAGGGGACTTTTGGTCAGAACTGAACTGATGACACTCATCTTGGGTGTCCATTTTGAAACTGTGCTGATTGTATAGATCTGTGCTGTTGTGGGGAAGCATCCATGTTTTTACAGACATGGATGTAAACTGTCAGAGAAACTTGACTAGTGCAAGGAGCCATACAACCATGAGGCAGTAATTCTAGTTACGAATTTGTTAAGTTGATATGGCCAGCTTCTAGTCAACTGATATGTATTGACACATGGAAAAGGCGTGGAGAAGTATTGTTTTGGTGTTGCGCTCATGGCCAGCTCCTAAGAAAGAAATCAGTCTTGTTGGCTGCTAAATGCTCCACTATGTTCACTAGCTAGTCCCCAAATGTGTCTGTCTGCTGTTGCTGCTAAGCAGGTAGAGTAAAGTGGGCTTATCAGAGCCTGCTGCTACTCAAAACAGGGGTGATGAGAGTGACGAATCTGTACCAAAACATGGTACTGACTGTATATAGCAACAACACATAGAACATAAAATATAGAGGTTTCAAAACATAATGGACTCAAAATAAAGGTATTACGTCTCATTTGTCCCTTTACTTTGCCTTGATAAAAAGCCACCATACAAAATGTAATCGGCATCATTTTTCCTAATATAAGTTAATATACGAAAGTGTACACCATATGTATATGTATGTGTATATATATATATATATATATATATATATATACATATATATATGAAGGGAGAGAGCGAGAGAGAGAGAGGGAGAGAGGTTAGTTTGCCACATATCCTAAAATTTACCAGCTGTAGTGACTCCTCAGTACCTGAGGGAGGAACGACTTTGTGTTCTTCATTTGTTCTAAACTACTCTCAGTATTGTGATATCAGGAATATATTTTATTGACAATTTAGATTAGTTTGCAGTGAGATCTTATTGGTTTTATATAGTGACTTTGCTGTTTGTACCATTGCTGCACAGGACACAACATTTAGTTAAATAGTTAAATATTAAATTCTAATACTGCTCTGAATTTATTTCTTATTTAAATAATTCCTTGTACAATTTACAGTAGCCTATTAGTTCTCTTAAGAATCTCTTTAACATTTAAGCAAAATTGGCATTGTAACTGAAATATTCCGAATCAAATTCATATTACATCAGACCATATCAGAAATATAATCATAGTGGGACCTTGTGATTTGAACTGGTACAGGCAATCAGCCCTACTTACATTCCTTAGTTAAAAAAAGCCTTGCGGCCCCCCACGAAGCTTTAGCGACCCTAGTGGGGGTCGGGACCCCCAGGTTGGGAACCAGTGGATGAAGGAACAAAGCCGATCTATGAATGGACGGAATGGACCCACGTTTCTGTTTAAATGGCAGATAGCAAACAGCTTGACGGTGCATACCGCCACCTACTGTACAGGAGGGAATGTGTAACATCACATCATTTTACTCTATTTCTTACTCCTCACCGTCCTGTTATTACAAAAGGAAACATACCCTGGAAAGTCCTACTCTTGCTGTTCTCACAGCACTGAGCGGAACCTGAACATGTCATGTTTAAGCGGATGTTAGTAGAAAGGATGCTTGAAAAGCTACACCAGTGTTCGCGTTTTGTTTGGCATCCATAAATGGAATAAGACATTGGAAAAAACACAAGCGAATTATATTCGACCCAAACTGAGAGTCTATGGTTGCAAACAAACACTGTTCGGCGAATCTAACATCAAAGTAAGCATGAAAATGACCTCGAATACAACGCACGTAACATACCGGAAGTTTCATGTAATGGATGCGCTATAGAAACGGAAGTTGAGATGTGGACCGCCAGAAGAAAATTCAGTATAAAATGTTGTTGGTGCGAACAAAACGGTGGCTTAATTTGTCTGTGAATGGCCATGGCGACGTTATAGACAGCCTCCTGTTATACTTTAGAGACGGAAGTAACGGCGCAAATATGTAGCGTGCTTTGGCGTTGCCAGCAACGTTGAACCTTCGTGGCTTTCTTGTAAACACATGTAACGTTAACGTTAGCATGTTCCAGGAATTACACTTAGTCGAGACTCAGTAATGCTGCTGTTGTCGTTACGATGAACGGCTGGATGGGGAGATTACGAAACAAAATTCACGTGATTTCATGAGTCATGTATCCCTCAACGAAGGCAATGGATTCGGTTCACAGGTAGAGTTGAATGAAACTTTAACTCACCCGATATAGGTCATAGCATTTACAATATATGACAAGTAACATTTATTGGAGCAATCACAACGTGTGGATTAACAGAAGGTGTAAAACAAGCACAGTCTCCTCTGTTAGGTTTAGCAGTGTTTTTCCTGAGGGTTGTAATATTAACAATGAAGCGAGATTAGTCTGTCAGAGAGGTATGTTTGCCTGAAGCCAGAGTTTTGAGTGACACGAAGGTGGCTCTCTTTTAGCCTGGCGAAGTCACCATGCTAAGTTGTGGTACCTCCAAGTAAATGTCATGAGAAGCATTAAAAGGAGGCAGAGGAGCATGAAACATTTTTCACAGATTATCTGTCTGCTGTTGTGTGGATTCAGTGATAGGTTCAGCAAAATGACAAAAAGTTATTTTTTTTAATTAGTTATTAACTACAACTTTCATTATCTTAACCTGTGCTTTTCCTACTGTGACAAGTCAAAATCGTCTGCTGTGCAAATGCCTGTTGATCTCAACCTGGGCCCTATTTCAGAGAGCAGGATTAGTGAAAACTCTGAGTATGTTCAGCCTGAGATGAGGGAAACTCTGACTTTAATGTTTTACAAAGCCAGTTCAGCGAAACCCTGAGTCAGTTACTATAGCAACATACTCTGTGAAGCTAACCTGCTGACTCGCAGGTTTGCTTAATCCAAGCCTGAGGTTGATCGCCTGCTGTGCATATAGCAGGAAGGAGAGAAATGGTGTGTCCTTTTTTGAATAAAGTTGTCGTGTTGTGCGTTAAAGATTTACTGCAACAGATATTGAGTGTAACATCGAGCTGCTTTAATGCTGAACCACATTATTATTGATCAAGCTTCTACACATCCAACAACCCAGGATACAGAGCTTCCGCTCAAACTACTTCCTGTTACCAACCTTTTTGAAATAAATAATGTATTGAATACCACCACAAAAGTCGTGAACATTGAGGCACAATTTATCTAGGGACTGTTGTGTAAAGAGATGGTGATTAGACCCCGTTTGGTTGTCTTATCATTCCCAGAGGAGTGTCTATATTGAAAGATACAATTTCACCCCCCACTCTATCATTTACCATAAAAATCTGTTCTACCCAGATTTATCAAATATTACACATCGTGGATTTACATTATCATCATAACAAATTCTGTACATTGCCCTTTGATTCTTATAGGCAGCAGCAATTTTCTTAATAACATCAGAAACACTGAACACATTAGTGAGACAGTGGTTTGTCAGGCCATAAGAAAAGTGTCTCTGGCTCTGAAAAGAGTTTTGCCTGTTTTTGTGGTTTTCCCTGGGCATAAATCAGAATGGATCATCACAGAGGAATTCCACAGAACTGCAGGTTTGTTAGTGTAGATACGAAAATAATCTACGCGGATACATTATGCAATGATTCATGAATACTTTTCGTATATTCAGAGATTCCGTGGTGTTATAGGCTGCATTTATGGGACTCAACATCCCCATAGTAGCTCTATCTGAGAATAAAGGAGATCACGTGAATAGGAAGTCATTTCACAGCAACTCAATTAACATGACTAATATTGCAAGAATGACATAAGTATAAGCAAAATTTTTACCAGTCTGAACAATATTTTGTGTTTGATTTTGAGTTGCTGCCCAGTGCGTTTGGGTCCCATCAGATTACAGCTGAATATGATGATATAGCAAATTATATTAAAATATGTAAATACTGTTAAGATGTAAACTAGTTCATATCTTTTCTGTATATTAGACACACATTAACACATCACATTACAAAGTGTCACTTCACGTTACCTCTTAACACACTCTGCAGTCTTTTCCCGTCACCTCGCTGTTTAGCTGCAGCTGCCAATAGACCGAAGTCTTCATTTGCGGTCATTAAATTCTCCAATTCAGTTGGGATGAAGTAAGTGGCTCTGCTTTTAACACCGCTTTCTGCCACTGAGAATAATGTTATCTGCACTCCATTGATGATGGCTTGTGGTGCTCACTGTGACGCCCTTCCCTCAGGCTGAACATACTCAGACTTGATTGAACTAATTCTGATCAGCTTTTCTGGAACCGTAAAACTCAGATTTTCCTAACTCAAGCTCAGTCAACTCGGAGATCGGGATTAGGCTCAGAGTTTGTTGAGCCTGCTTTCTGATATAGGGCCCAGCTCACTATCAGAAAGAAAACAAACAAGAACATTTCCAAAAATGTTAAATGTTTCTTTTAGGACTGCACAACTGCTGCACTGTAAAGATAGAACTGTATTGTTTATGAATGCTTTTATTTGATGTATTAACAGACCAAATGTTGGCACCAGTGGTGTAAGGCAGTTACGATGGGCCCCACTGCACACTATTATGATAGGCCCCAGCATACACTATTGTGATGGGCCCTAGTGCACACTATCATACATGTTTTTTCTTGACGAAAAAAGAGACTTGACATCAGACAACATCAACATACAGATTACCCAGCAATTATCATTGAATATCTGACAAAAATATCGAAGAAAGTAAGAAATGAATCATTTATTTTAGTAGTTTTTATAGTTTATTAGTAGATTTGATAGCTTATGTAGAAAAAGCATATCATTTTGTTTTAAAGGGTGACTGATTATGCAAAACAAAATAATTAAGTAAACCATGATGTAGATGGGTTTGCCTTTTTTAAGGACATAAATAGCAAACAAACAAACACCATTTTAAACTAGGAACTTTTTTTTTTCAGGCCCCTTTAAACACAGGTGTGTATATTCAAGGCCGTAATCTGAATCAGTTGCAAGGGCCACTGTCTATGGGCCCCTCCACCCCACTGTTTGCCCAGTCTATATTTACACCCCTGGTTGGCACTTTGGACAAAAGCACCTGCCAAATAAACTCATGTAAAATTTAAATGTATTTTTACCATTGATCTTTAGTGGCTTTTTTTTTTTTTTTTTTACCTTTTCCTTCATTTTTTTTTTAAATTCCAGAAGCGTGTACAAGTATCAGTAATCACCAATGGGTGAGCCTATATAACCATAACCATACACTGAGTAAACTGATAAACACACACACACACACACACACACACACACACACACACAGTAGATTTGTTTCTATACTAGGGGTGGTCGATAAGTCGATACAGCATAGTATTGCAATATTTTGTGTGGTGATATTTTATCGCTTCACAGATGCCAATTATCAGTCTTACATTATTCATTTTTGCAAATACACAACTTTTGGTACTAGAATAATAAATCAATTGCTTTTTTGGTCCACAAGATGGTGCTTATGTTTTTTTTCCTGGTGCTGTCAGGGGCCGTATTCACAAACATTCTGAGAATACTCTCAGAGAGCTCCTAACTTAGCCTTAAAACTTTTAGTAAGAAATCCTAGCTAAGGGGTGATTTAGGAAAGTTCTCAGAGCAACTCTGAGCAAGGAAGGGACAGAAATTTTTATCTTGGTGAGGAGGTGTGGTTGACCCCATTTCTAGGTATGATGCATCCTTTTAACAGATGTGATTGCTTGTCAGAGACACACCCCTTTGTGAGCCTGCAAGGTGTGGACACCCAGTGGAAATGAAAGATAGAAGGTTGAGACAGACCCAAGTCATCACTGCTACATTTTTCCAGTTTTCCAAATATCTTAGTATTGTGATCATTTCATTTCTGGTGTTACAGCGTTATTGCATTGGGTGTTAAATGTGTGTGTATCCCTAATAAGACTGACCACAAATATTTTCCCTGTATGATCCAATCTGTAGCATTTCATTAACGCACTGGCACTCAGTGTTTGGAGAATATTTGTCCTACCTCTTTGTCTTTCCACCATCTTCTCCTCTGCTTATGAAACTCTTAAGCCTCTTAAAGTCCTCCTTTCTGCTCTTAACAGTTTTTCACCTTAGGAGCTCTTTTAAGGACTAACCCTAACCCTAATCTTTATCTTTACAAGGACCTAGTCTTAACTTAAGGGGAAATTCTAAGAAATTTCTTACTCACTAAAGTCACTAAACCAAAACTGATTTAGTAAGGGAATTAATCAAATTCCAGAAATTTGTCAGCAGATTATATTCTCAAACCAGATGTACAAATGTTCCATCTTTAGTTTTGAATTTAAGGCATTTTGCTGAGTTATCTTCTGAAATTGTATGCATCTTTATAGGAGTAAGATAAAAATTTATTTATTTATTACTTGTAAATGAGAAATTCTTTCACACATTTTTAGAAGGGTATTTTAATCTAAAACCACCTTGTGACGTGTTTCCGTGTTTTATTTTGTTTTGTTTTTTCTGTCAGTGGGACCGGTGTCTTCTACCAGGCAATGCCTGCTGTTGGAGCCGATGGAAAGAACATCATGAAACTGATTCCTGTACAAATTGTCAATGGACAGTTTGTTCAATCTCAAATAAGTCAACCCAAAACGAATCCTACATCACAGAAAGCTGTAACCATAAATATTGCCTCAGCACCTGTTCAGGTGGTAAAGAAGTCAGCTTTGAATCCTTCTGCCACAGAGCAAATTGTCAGAAAGCATTTTTCACTCATGGATGTCTTCCCTAATCAAGCAGATTTGGATCTTGGTCATTCACTAAATAAACACCCACTACAGCAACAGCATGTAAATTTGATGTCCATAGTACCTCCAGTGGCAACACCTGCAACAAACAGTGGGAAGTTAGGAAGAGTTCCAAGTCAGCTCCCAGTCACAGCACTCCCCAGAGGACAGTACCTTCAGATTCCTTCTAATTCACAAGTCCCAGCATCTGAACGACCTGCTAGTATCAAGAAACAGATTTTTACTCCACCACCCAGCTCCTCTCCAAGTCAAAGCTTATCTAGTCTGGTCTACGTGCCACCCATCACAACTGTCAATCGAAGCACGACTCTACAAAGTGATTCTCCACTTCACTCACTTGGGTTGCTTTGTGAGACATCAAGTAACACTTTATGTGGAACTCCATCCAAAGGATCAAAACCACATTTAAAATTAATTCCAAAAGCTTCACAAAGGCCTAACAGCCCGATAAAGTGGGTCATTGAAGAAGAGGAAAGCACAGCGGCTCCAACTCTTGATCCTGTTACCCCTTGTGTTACTTCAGAGATTCTTCGAATTGTTGCAGAGAGAGAAAATGCTAACAAACACTGTGACGTCATTAAAAAAATAGCCTCTTTGTCGAGCGGACAGAGACAGGAAAACACTTTGGTCACGGACAACAGGAACGTGGTTTTTGTGGCCAAAAATCGCAGCCTAGCATATAAAATGGGAACAAGTGACTCACCTACAGCAGCACAAAAAAGTTGTGAATTCAACAAAATCATTGTATCTTCATCCCAACAATCACTTGAGCCAGTTGCACCTCAGATGAAGCAGGGCCTACAGGTTATCATTCCACATGAATCAGATGAGGTGATTGACCTTTGTGACGATGATGGTCATGATGACTCGTCTCAACAGGCAGCCTCAGCTCAGATGTCAGCAGTCACTCAACCGGATGAAGACAATGTAATATTTGTGTCATATATTCCACCCAAAGCTGAGTCTGAGTCAACACAAGATTTGAGACCACAAACACAAGTGCCACTTATAAAGGAAACAGATCAGACGGACACAAGAAGTGGTGTAACACAACAGAAGAACCTGAATGGAACAACTGACAATGAAATCTGTGCCCATAGAAGAAGAGCAACTGACCAGAGTATGTCATACAACACAGTCAAAAATCTTAGACATGTTTGTGATTTGCCAGTGATGAACATGCATGATAATGAGGGCTCACATATTAGCAGTCAGCAGATCACCTCCACCCAACAGCTGGAGAGGATGGAAGTTGATGTTGAAACAAAAAGTCCAGCTGATCCCAACACGTCTGACAGCAGCAGTGGAATATGCTCTCTAATAGAGGAGGACACCCACAGAATGGAGGTGAGGACACTTCTATTGCCTTTATGACTTTGGAATACTCTGAAATTTTTATGATTAAAAACAATCTTCTTGCAGGAAATTATGTAACCGTGTCACTAAGATTTTTGATGCATTTGGTAACTTCTTTGAAAATACCTTTTTGTCACATTTGCTGGAACTGTCACTCTGTCCACACAGTGATACATGAGACAGATAATCTGTGAAAATAATCAGGTTCCTCCTCCTCGCAGTGCCCACTAAAACAACCAATCATAGTTAGGGTTGGTTTAAAATAATCGATTCATCTGATTTAAATCGATCTTCATTTGAATTACCTGATATCGCTTCATAAAATCCAAGATCATCTTTTAATATACGCTATTTTTCCACAGATGTGTGAAGCTTTAACCCTGTTAATCTGAATAATCTGAATTGCCTGTGAGATTTGAGTTTATCTTGTGATCAGTGTTGGGCAAGTTACTCTCAAAATGTAATATATTACATATTATTAGTTACCATCATTTGAAAGAAATAAGTTACTTTACACTATTAGTCTCTGTGCAGAGTAATAAGTGACTTATTACACTACTGTTGCGTTACTTTGACCAAAATGAGCTCAGAAGAACTAATGTTCATTTTAAATGGATGAGGGTCATGTTGTTTCACAGCAGCTAATCAAAGCACAGAAGCTCCAGTTTATTATAGTTTATTTCAAATCCAGTGCTGCAGGTCTGACCTGTTCATGCATTCACATACAGTGGTTACCACTTTGTATTAAATGAAAAACATTTTTAAGAACCATTAAATAACCAAGTTTTTTTTTAAATTAACGAAGAGCCTTGGACACAGGGAGAGTCAGGCAGAGGATCAGAGTCTGATAATTCTGAGTTGTGGATCAATATTTGTTGGCCTGTGATATGAAACACAATAAACAAATGTTGAGGTTAGCAAAACAAACAGAATGGCGTGCGATTTAGTCACTATGACGAGCGCAAAGTAAAACACTGGAGCTGGAAGAACCACCTGGCAGTTACCAGTGTGCCGGTCAAAGACAACAGCACCGAATGGGACTGTGGCTGGCATTGCTCTGCAGTTGTAGGGGATGTGAATTGAAACACATCCAACTCGCATCACCCAGATGTGCCGATTAACGGTAGGAGGAAAAAGTGATCTGGAGGCCAACTCCTTATCCCTGCTGCTTTCAGGCATCATGAACAATAAACAGTTAATTTCGGGTGGTAACTTCTTACGTAAATATAATAATATTACCCAAAATTCTGTTGGCAATGCGTTATATACTTCATTACTGCTAAAAGGTAATATATTACTGTAATGCATTACCCCAACACTGATTGTGACTTTGCTGTTTCTGTTGCTGCTCTAGAAACAGCATGTAGTTATAAAATATTTAGTTTTAACCCTGTTCTGAATTACTTCTTTTTTTTATTTAATAATTCCTTGTAAAATGTCCAGTATACAAAAATAGCAAAAATTGATATTGTAACTGAAATATCCCCATTAAAATCAATATCAAATTGAATCAGAAATTGAATTGAATTGAGACTTTGTGAATCAAAATTAAATCAATTCAGGAAATCAGTGGCGATACCCAGCCCTAATCTGAGCTGAAGATTTTGGAATGCAGCTGTCAGTCAGGTCAGTCACTGCTGGTGAGCTGCAGTCAAACTGTCAGACTAGGCAGCACTGATCAAATATGAATCAAGATACTGTTACTGCATTGTCTTTTTCTCACCTCAAATGTTTTCAGAAATATATTTTAGTGACTGTTAAGCTGTAAAATGAGAATGTTTTCTCCAGCCAGTGGGCGGTGTTTGGTTTAAGCTCGACTGTTTCAACATGGCGACGAGGTCACAAACGTTCTTATTTTAGAGCTAAACATTTGGCGGAGGTAGTTCAGACTGTTCAGAACTTATCAATAGGGTTAGGCGATATGGACTTAAAATAATATAACAATATTTCCGGATATTTTTGCCCTAACGATGTTCTTGACAATATGACAAATGAGTATTAAAAAAATTATTATTTTAAGAACATAGAATTACAACAAAAAAAGTGACATCATTTTACATGTCAACAGTTTGCCTTTAAATATTCAGTAAAAACTAAATAAAAATGACCTCATTTCTTTTCTTTTTTTTTTTTTTTTTTTTTTCCCTTTGTCTGCATTGGTCTTCATAGCTTAGCGCCACTAAAGGGTGTAAGCTTCTTGTGAAGATTGATGCACTGTTAATCTTGCAGTCAAGTATTTTATACCCATAATGCGTGGTTGTGACCGTCACCCACCCTCCCTGGAGACTAGCCTAACAGCCTTTATTGGAAAAACTTCCTAATATGAGTCAGAGAGGGCCGTGATACACCAAAGTGTGTCAAGGGGCCTCTCATTTCTTTAGTTTGTGAACATCAACAGTAACTCAGAGTGAGATTCAGATTCTGTATACATATTAATAGTTCAACAAAATAAAATATACCAAAAACTACACATTTAAATAGCTCCCAAATCCAAAAAAAATTAATATAATGTATATATCAACAGGTGATTTCCTTCTCTTTTAGCAAAATCCTTGATGATTGAGTTATTGTTTTCCACCTGGACCTTTATGCTCTGCCATTTCTCTAATCATCACGCTGTAACCTATGACAGGCTGTTATGATACCATAACTATTGGACTTTCACATATATGTAGTTTTCTGTTGAACCACGAGTGTCACATAGGTTTACATTACCAAAGGTTTATGACAAAATCACTTGACAACACGGGAGTGAGGAGAGGGAGAGACGCTGTGCTGCTGCCAGAGGAGCCGCTGAATGAGTTCCCTCTGAGCGGTAAGTCGCTAAAAGAGTCTGAGAAGTCCAGGGCTGTTCATAAAACATTCAGGACACCACAGTTTATTCCACACTACTGAAGCTACTCCTCTTTTTGGAACCACTGCGGAGTCATTAATAATTCCGCTTTCAGCCATGCTTGTTGCCATGAGTAACGATATGATGTCAATATGTCAACAAGTAGAAATACAACTTCTACAAGTAGAAGTTATTGGATTTTGGAACTTCTAAATATTGATGTTGGTATCAGCCTCAAAAATCCTGTATCACTGGGACAGTCATGTGACTTTTTAGTCTCATCAGACTTCTGCCTGGGGTCTGTCATATAACTGTTACTTAGCTGTGACATCCTACTATGGACTGAGGGAATTATATTTTGCATTTAAGTGCACAGTGTTAAACTTTATACAATTGTCTGTACAGAGACTAAAACAGACTCTGCCAGAGACAGTACAGAAAAGTCAAACTGAGTCATGCTTGTTAATATAACCCAGTATCAAATATCACAATTTGTCTCAAGGGTCTTCTTTACAGCAGGATTCGTGAACTATTTGTCCGAAGGCCAGAACGTTCCTAAGCAGACACTGTGGGGGACAAACTCTTCATTAAAGTAGCGTATAGTAGAAGAATTTAATTAAACATTGTTTTAAAAAAACAACAACAATGAAAAGTTAAGAGAGCTATGAGTTCGTCCACATTCTTGCATGAAGATATGGCAACTTGCGCCACCCAACCAGCAAACAATATGGCTTAATCTACCACCCAAACCCAACCTAACCTGCATCTCCCAACTTTATGCATTATTGTAGCACCTGAAAAACTTGACACTCCCATCAGCCTCATCAGTTCTAATTAGGAAATGTCTCATTAAATGAGGATGGGGAACATATGTAGCATTTCAATATTATCTTGAAATGTTAGCAGGCTGACATTAGCATTTAGCTCAAAGAACCACTGTGCCAGAGCTACTAACATGGCTGCAGACTTGTTGTCTTGTTTATTGTTTGTTTTTTTTTTTTTAAAGAGTTTTTTTTTTTCTACTTGCAGAGCTCTGTGAATCCCACAGCGAGTTGTACATCCTCACTGGCACCAGAATCCCTTCAAAGGTCTGATAATCTGCTGAGACAGATATTTGGGATAACAGCCAATGTGAAAATTTGCCTGCAGAGGATTGATGGAGCTTCAGACTGGTCTCTAATTGCTGAATCTCTATGGAGTGAGTCCATAAGGTCAGATAACAGGGAACCAGACAGTGGGTTAAAAGAGAAAGAACTTTTTTTAAAGGACCTTTACAGTCTACAAGACACTGACAGCAGCAATGGTCACATCAATGTCAGAAAGGTAACTGGACAGGAGCTGTCAGAAGACTCTGCCACTCCAAGTCCTCACACAGACATCGGACCTCTCAAATGTTCACATTTCAAACTGAACACACAAGCTCTCTCTCTTTTGAGGAAGAAGTGCCATTCAGGTAACACATCTCTCAAAGGAATATCATGTGATGTTGAAACTGAGCCAGTCATTGGCTACATGGAACCCATAGATGAAGATTTCCTCAGCACAGATGAAAATGACATCCCCAACTCACAGGACACAGCTAGCCAGCCACAAACTCAGACTTGTGCAGATCTGAATACAAACACAACAAGGAGAATGGGAAGAATGAGGAAGCGTACAGTCTGTCCATGTTGCATCCCTTGTACTCAAGATCCTGTAGTGAAGTCCAGCGCCAGGTCCCAAGAGCCAGAGAAGTGGGCTTGGAGGACAGAGCAGACAAATAAAAGAGGGGGAAAAACAAAGGCTGTAAGAAAATATGTAAAAACATCTGGACGGATCAGCTGTCTAACAGCCAAGAAGAAGCACAACTGTAAGACTTCTGATGAGGCTTCAGCCAGTAACAGTTTAACCACAACATCCATGGACACTGATGAACTGAAACAATGTGAACAGATCAGAAGACTCAAAGAGCTTCTCAAAGAGAAAGAGGCAGCTCTGGAACTGTTGAGAAACAGCTCGGGCTGAAAGGAGAACCTCTAACATTCTAACAAAGTTAATGCATTTATTTTTAGTGGATCCTATGCTACTACTTGGATTTCTTTTCTTTAAGATTATTTTTGTGGGCTTTTTACCTTTAATGACAGGACAGTGTGTGAAATGGGGAGACAGAGAGAGAATGGGGACTGACATGCAGCAAAGGGTTGCGAGCCGGATTCGAACCCGCGGCCGCTGCAGCGAGGAAATGCCTCTGTACATGGGGCACCAGCACTATCCACTACGATACCGACGCCCCACTGCTTGTATTTCTTTTTGTTGAGTTAACAAGGACTAACATAAGTATCACCCTGGCTTCAGTGCAGTGTCATGTACACAGGGCTGTTGGGGAATAAAGCAAATGTAAGCGTATGAATTGGTTTCAATGGTTCTGGTCTGGTATATGGGTCACTGAGGTTTGTAGTTCATCCACCATTTTTATGATTTTCATTTATCGTTTGCTCAGCTTTATTTTTACAACTACAGCCCTGCATGTACATACCTGGATTGTTTCACAGCTGTATGTGCTGACCAAGAGGTGACAGTATTGAGACTGAAAAGTTTGAGCTTGTTAAAAAATACTGACGTACATAGGTTAAAGGGCTGGGCAATATAGGCAGAAATTCATAACTCAGTATTTTCAGGCTGAACAGCAATACACAATATATATCTCTGTATTTTATGCAAAATGAGCTACATGTTCAGTTGCAAGTCAAAGCCACGTTTGAGATGTCACAAGCACTTTTATAAAAACAGACTGATAAAAATAAAATACAAAGATGGATTTTATTCCCCTGTTTGAAAATACACAGCTGCACAACATGCAAATGAAAAATGATATAAAATAAATAGCAGGGCTGTACGTTGAGGTTTTGTACATAGCACTGGAGCTACAGAGGTTTGAAGGTTTGCAGCACAAGACACAAAACTATAACGAGTCTACAAGGATCAAGTAGGCTTGAATCCACTGTAGTTTGAAACAATTAAAAATCTTCATGGGGGGAGTTAAAAAGTTGTTTTAAAATGAATCTAGTGCTAGAATATGATTTAAATACTTTTATTTATTTCAGCTATACATTTATTTATGCACAGAGCATTAACAGAGAGGCCAAGGGAGGGAAAGAGCAAGACACTTTGTCCGTGGTACATACATACGTCTTGTGTATGAAATGTCTGTGTCGTTGCTGCATTTTTTTTTCTGTTGCCTGCATCCAGGCACTGTCTCAGTGTCACACAATAGACTACAACTACTGAGAAGAATGGCAACGCTCTGTGACCCACCTCACACACAAACTAGCAAACAAACACTCACCTGACACAATCAGGCAGCTCTGTCTCCCACAAATGAAGCGCAGCACTCGAATGCATGTGTGCTACTGTGGTCCTTTCATTTATCCGGAGTGGGATGGAGCTGTGAGTAGAATGTGAGAGAGGAGAGATGCACGCTGGTATGCATTATGTAACGCAACTTGACCCTATATCAATATGAACAGTATTGTCTAAATCTATATTTTGCTAGAAAATAAATCGCCTAGCCCTAGTAGGTTATCCCTCCACTAGTATATAAGCATTAGCCTCATCAGAGTTCAGCACAAGTCTGAGGAGAAACACTCACTCCATCAGCTGAGAATAAGGAAATGTTCTCTTCATTTTATAAAGTGGCTTACTTGGTCAGTTGCAAGTTTGTATCTGTACAGGGATTTATCATATCTGTCACAGTGATCTCAACACAGTTTTCAGTCTTTTATGTAGCCTAATTTCTGATATCATTTTAGTACTTTTAACTAGAAGGACATTCCAAGAGCACACCTCTGCCAAGGCCAAATGCCCCATTTCACAATATTAGAGGTGCAATATACGACATTCAGCACAGTAATGTAGCAGCAAGCGAATATTATTCTGGCTAGCGAAATGCCACTGCTCTGCACTGGCTGGGCTGGGTGTGCATGCAAGAGCAGTGCTCATGAGCACCCCTGTATGATCTGTTAGCTCTGTCAGCACTGTTAAGCCATGTTTCCGCCAAACACTTAAGGTATATTACCTTTGGAACTAGCCTTGGACCATCTGTGGATGATAAATGAGGTGCAGACTTCCCTCTGTGTCACCTGTGAAGAGGAAGTACAGCGAGTGCTGGACGGAGCAGTGAGTGACAACAACCCCGCCCAAATTTGAGAGTACTGTCTGCGGTGGAAACGCAAAATGGACCTAAGGTCTAGGTACCATGTCTGAGGGATTACTTTTGGTTCCAAAGTAGCCTTGGACCAAGACGTTCATTGCATGAAAGTCTTGAAAACGAACCCCGTTTTTCGTGTGGGGGTTCCCGGTCTAGACAGATTCACGTCTCCATAAACGTTCAAATCAAACATGTAATGTACTCACCTCATAGGCACAGATGTTAGAAACACACGATTACAAACACACGGCAACCCCCCGTACACCTTCCTAACATCTGTGGCTATAACACTACCCCTCTGATGCCATACCTTTCCAGCTTCTTGATTAACAAGTCATGATCAACGGTATCAAATGCCTTTTTTAAATCAAGAAATAGAAATAAGAATAGAAATACCCCTGTTGCATATTTTGTATCATCAATACAAGTTGTTATTTCTACTAATAGCTCCATCAGTGCCATAGATGTTGATCTGTTTTCTCTGAAGCCATATTGGCTGTCCATCAGCAGTTTGTTCTTGTCGATAAAATTGTCCAACCTTACAACAAAAAGTTTCTCCAATATCTTAGAGAACTGGGGAAGTAACGACACAGGCCTATAATTGGTGCATAGATGTTTATCCCCAGCTTTAAATACTGGAACTACTTTTGCTGTTTTCATTTGGCATGGAAATGTACCGGTTTTGTAGGATAAGTTGCAGATGTAGGTCAGTGGGTTTACAATTCCATCAATGATTTCCTTCACTAGAGTAGTATCAATTTCAATCCAATTAGTAGACATTTTATTTTTACACTTGCTTACAATACTCAGGATTTCCTTTTCTTCTATTGCTCTTAGAAAAATTGAATTTGGATTTCTATCTCCTCGATCATTAACATCCCACCCCTCTTCTAGTGATGGATCATTGATTTCGTGTTTTCTGGTGATGTCTGAGATGAGAGGTGTGAACAAACCCAGCCAAACTATAAATGTCACATATTGCAAAGTGAGAAAAAGCACCTGGATAACTGCCTTTTCACTCTGCTGAGGTCAGGAAGAAAGTGCCGGATACATCAGGCAGCACCGAGAGGCTCAAGAGGAGCTTCTGTCCTCAAGCCACAAGGATACTGAATAATGATCCTGCCTTATCCTGAACACTGACATCTATGTTTTACTACCACTACTATATATTAACAGAACTAACAACAGTTACACTTAACTGAAATAATATTTACGTGATTTCATGAAACAAATAAACTGATTGATTGATAATTGGTGTATTTCTTCAGTTATTCAGAGTTGCTCCAAAATTTATGGGGTTCTTCCTCAGCCCATGCTACACCCTTTTCACCAAGTTATATGAAAATCAAGCCAGGTGTTTTTCTGCTGACAAACACACAAACCGAGCTGCAGTGGCGTAGCCATCATTTCAGAAGTGAGGAGGACAAATTGTTCAGAGGTCTATTGAGTGATTTATCATCCTCTCGCATTCAGTTGCACCTCTCCTTAGCGGCTAACGAGCCACATAACACAGCCACAGTGCAGCACCAGGGGACTGAGTTTAGTTCTTTAAAATGATATACTATCAAAGTCTAAAGTTTCAGCTGCAAAACTGGTTGAGTTTAAACACAATGACCCTCGAGCATCTACAGGGTAAGTAGCCAGATGACTAAGTGCCAAATGACAACACTGAACACGAAAAGTTCAGTAAAACACCATTCCTGTTCGCAAGTTTTTAGCACACAAAATGGAATGCAAGGGACAAGATAACAGGGTAATAAGCCACATAATTTAATTTATGCTAAACATATCAACATCAAGATGTATTTTATATTTTAGTCAAATATGACAGCACAGGTGTGCAAAATTAATCAAATATTTTTAAGCCTTCTCCCTGTGCTACCTATTGCAATACAGACAAAAAACATTTTAGAGCATAAATAAGAGTAGTTCTGAAATAGTTGTGAAAATTAAGTGTCACTCTTATCTTATAGACATTTCCTTAGCCAGTTAAAATTTCTCCTTACCTGTGAAGGGCTGATAATTGGTGCTGCTGTCAGGTCCCTGTCCTGATACTTGCCTGGTTTCTCCTTGTCTCTCTTCTATCTACTGCAATAATATAGATAATAAATGTGAAAAGCAAAATTTATAATAGAATTAAGAAAAGTAGTGGTGACATAGCTGTGGAAATTGATCACAAAGTCACTTTTATGCTATAGATATTTTTCTCAGCCAGTTATATTCTCTTCTCACCTGTGAAGACCCTGCATGATCATCCTTGCTGGTCTCTGGTCCACTGTCTCCTCCCTGACCCTGCTCTTTCTATTGTGGCAATAAAGATTAAAAAATATGTGGAAAGCAATAGTGAGCACAAGTTCTGCGCAGAAATTAAGGAGGAGTGGCTTTATTCTTGAAACTAGCTAGCAAGTGATTCAACAGGTAACAATTAGTGTCCTTGTTAACTAAAGTAACTTGATATATTGGCATCTATTAATTAGTCATCATTTAGTCAACATTATCTATGGCTGTGGCTCAGAGGTAGAGCGGGTCATCCACCAATTGAAAGATTAGCGGTTCAATCCCCGGCTCCTCCAGGCTGCATGTCGAAGTATCCTTGAGCAAGATACTGAACCCCAAATTGCTCCCGATGGCTGTTCCATCGATGTGTGAGTGTGTTAAAACTGAGTAGCAGGTGGCACCTTGTATGGTAGCCTTGGCCACCAGTGTATGAATGTGTGTGTGAATGGGTGAACATGACTCGTAGTGTAAAAAGCGCTTTGAGTGGTCACTAGATGACTAGAAAGGCGCTATACAAATGCAGGTCCATTACATGCAACAGCATTACTCAACTTACATGGTTTGTTTGGAAGAAACTGTGCAAGGTTTTTTGCTTCTTGCTGGCTGGTTTGCTGAACATAGTTAACACAGTAGCACTGCCCAGCAGCATACGTCTCGTCTATGTAACTGATTCAGATCACAACACGACAGCATGTGAATGCGTCTGGCGCAGTCTACTCATGGTGCATTTAAAGACGGCTCAGAAAAACACGTTACCACATTGTAAAAAACAAATTGAACGGTGGAACAGCTGTAAAAAGTGTGGGGGATGGAGGGCACAGATAAGGGAAGAGCGGGGGCCCACGCCGAGCTGCATATATGACCTCCTTGGTGGTGGTAAATATTCCTCTGATATTTCCCCGTCATCAGTGCCGTAACGGAA